GTGATTAGGAGGGCAAGATGGACAGCGCTAAGCACCATGACAGGTCCGATGTTCGTCACAAAACTAGCCGTTGACCTAGAATCTCACTGTTGGATGGGGGGGGGGGGGGGGGTGAGGGCTCCACAAGAAGCACTGCCGAGCATGTGATCTGACCCCAAAAATATATCCAATCCGAATGGTGGTATTGTAATATTTACTGAAAGTTCCGACAAGGAATGACACCTTTCAATAAGCAGGTTTGATGGCTCAGCAGATAAGCTTGACCCAACCTACCCCAAAACCTGATTTATCCCTCGGATTTCAGTGTGCCCTCCCGATGTCAAGAATGATGTTTTTTTTAACAAATCGGCAGGTAAAAGATTCTCTACGGACGAATGACTTCTCATTTCAGACTCAGGCGAAACCGAAACCTTGTGGACATGTTAAGCAAAAGGACTAGAAAAATATATGTAAGACAGTGCAACATGCTCGCCGTAAATGAGTCTGGTTTGTCGCTCATAGAATGTGGTCCGAGCCACAAGACAGTCGTGTGCAGAGTCGTGGGCCCTAACATGTGTAGATTAGAAAACAGTGAGCACGTGATTATTCTTCGTGGAGAGGCTGCGAAAAATGTGTTCTGCCCACTTTTAGGTAGAACCTTGACCTAAAACTGAGACTGAACTTGAGTGAACTCAACAGGCATGCCGATAGCTAGAAGGACGGAGTAGGTAAGGGCTGGTGACTGAATGGCTCGTCAGAATGGCCGTCTAAGTAAACAGCTGTCTTAAATAAAATGAATAGGTGGAACGGCCGTCATAGATGACATTAATGACTGGAATGGCCGTTATAGATGATATCGATAAATGGAAAAGCCGTCCTGATGAACTCTAGACTAGCGATTTGGCATCAGTGTAAAGGTTATATCAGTAAAAACATATTTGCCCTAGTGATGTTTCGGCATTAACAGTTGGGACTTCGCTGAAAATAATCCACGCTCAGTTAACTAAGAAATACCAGCGAAACGATGTTATTAAGCAAATAATTGTAGTATTGGAAAATTTGACATTTCAAAGCCATGTTTGGCGTAACAATTTTTTACAGGAGCCATATATTCCCATGTCAATATCTTTTTCGCTCCGGAATGTATCACACAAAATGTACTCATTCCAGTCATCAACACGTTTTTTTATGACGCGAATAGACGGAATATATGCAGCCACACTGCGGGGCATAAGTCAGACGTGATTCTTTTTTTCCTTTTGAGGAATGCAACTCATGCCGGCGATGTGCACAAAGTTAATGCAACCTGTTGCTTGTTGGTGCTTGCCTTGATGGCATGGCTCAGCGCAATGAACTGTACTATTTTTAGCGTCATCGCTAGCTGGGAGATGGACGCTGGTGTTAACCGCAATGGCTGGAATACTGATAGCATTTGTCTCTGTCAACGCCCGCAATTTAAACAATGAATTTTATTTGAGCTTTTGGTGACTAACAATAGTTTTGGAAAAACGCCGACACTTATGATAGCTATTAGTGCAAATGTATATGTATATATGTTTATGTATAAATACATATATACATGTGTATATGTTCGTAAATATGTATGCATTACATCATATATACATATAAGCCATATTGAATATGCTGGATTAGGAGCCTATGCAACTATCGCGACTAAATTGGTGTTGGTTCGGGCCGCAGCGTGTTGTTTGTGATAATCCTTCTCAGAACGGACACTAGCGGCGCCTCGGTCTACCAGTGACACATCTGTGGGTCGGACGGTGCTGAGATCAACTAATGATTTGCAGACGGCACGTTTGCCTGCATTGTACAGACAGTGCTATGATCCTACCTGCTTTGATTGACGAGATCTGCCGCGGATTTCCAAAACGACTTCATGAAATGGTTGTTTCTGTAGTGGGCACGTCGTGTGTGACAGCCGGCACACATTGGCACAGACATTTACCTGTGGGATTTTAAGCTTTTTCTTCCGTGAGCATTAGTCTCATACTGCCGCGGGCCGGCTCATCGACATCCTTTATTTGCAGGGTTGTCGCTATCTAAAATCATTTGAGACCTGTGCAGATAGGATTCACCTAACCCATCCCAAAACTAAATTTCTGCCCGGATTTTGGCACGTCAAGTTATTTTTTCGATGCTTAAATGAAAAACACCTTTTTCAAGTACTCCGTTGATTCCAGCACTGTTTTGCGGCGGAGAAATGACTTACGACTGCACGGCGATGTGTAGCTGCATGTTTGTGAAAAACATAGACTTGTATCCACAGAAAAAACTCTGAGCAATCTGAACTTCTGTGATCACCGAAAACAGGTGTCGTTCATCATCGTTTAAAAGTGACCCAAGGCTCAAACAGAAACAGAATGGCAGGCCGGACCTGTACTGACGAGAGCCCATGGAAGTTTTCTGAATGCGGTGTCATGATGCTCCTATATATAAAAGTATGGCTTAAAAATTTGTACGAAGCTGTCAGCAAACAGTTTGATAACTGAAAGGACAGTGTGTAAAGACTGGCGATCAAAGGCGTCTCCTGAGCGTTCACCACGTCTTAAAAAGCGTGGTGAACGCTTTGACACGCAATGGAGTTTACTATCAAAACGACTTAAACCGTTGTGACCTGGGGTGATCACGCATACCAGGAGGTAGTGATTAAACTATGTTTTAGAAAAAGCTTTGGTTGTATTGAGAACACTCGACATTTGAAAGCTGTGCTTATGTCCAGGTTTCTTCGCAAAAGTCGATGAACACC